GTCATACTGGATTAAGGTGAGCTGTAAATCCAGTGACTAGTGCCTGTACAAGGAGGGAGGGAGAGAGAGAAGTAGAGAGAGAGAGAAACGGAAGGGGAGAGGTGAGAGAGAAAGGAGGATGGGAGAGGCAGAGAGACAAAGAGAAGAATGCCATTTGAAGACGGAGACAGACTGGAGTGGTGCAGGTGGAAGCCAGGAACACCAAAGATTGCCGGCAATCACAAGAAACCAAAGAGGCAAGGGAGGATTCTCCTCTACTGCTTTCACAGCCAGCATGATCCTATCAGACCTTTATTCTGGACTTCCAGCCCCCAGAACCATGAGAGAATAATTCGTACTGTTTTATGCCACCCAGTTCACAGTACTTTGTTACGGCAACCCTAGGAAATTAATAAGGCCAGTTAATAGGGTGAATTACTTTGGCTTTCAAATGTTGAACCAGCTTTGTACAGCAAAAATAAATTCTACTTGGTCAAGGTATATACTGCTGGATTTGATTTGCTAATATTTTATTAATGCATTTTTACATCTATATTCATGAGGAATATCGATCTGTCGTTTTCTATATTTGTACACTCTGGTTTTGATAGTATGAAAATATTGGCTTCATAAAATAAATTTGGAATGTCCTTGCCTACATTTTAAAAGACACTGCTGAGAAGTGGATCATTACCTGGTGAGCCGATTATCTTATCAGTATGTAATGTCCCTCTCTGTCTCTAGCAATTTTCTTTCCTCAGAAGTTTACTTTATGTGACATTAATACAGCCACTCCTGCTTTTTTGTAAACTAATTTCATATTGTGTGAATTAATTTCGTATTGTGTGCATGCGTGGTTTTTTTTTTTTTTTTTGAGACAGAGTCTCACTCTGTCGCCTAGGCTGGAGAGCAGCGGCATGATCTCGGCTCACTGCAAACCTCCACTTCCCGGGGATTTGTGCGATTCTCCTGCTACAGCCTCCTGAAGAGCTGAAATTACAGGTGTGTACAACCATGCCTGGCTAATTTTTATATTTTCAGTAGGGGTGAGGTTTCACCATGTTGGCCAGGCTGGTCTCGAACTCCTGACCTCAGGTGATCCACCCACCTTGGCCTCCCAAAGTGCTAGGATTACAGGTGTCAGTCACCACGCCTGGCTTGCATGTGTTTTTCTAGCCTTTTACTGTCAATCTACCTATGCCACTGTATTCAAAGTGAGTTTCTTGTACACAGCACATAGTTGGATTTTGTTTTTTCATTGATTCTGCCAATCTGTGTTTAACTGGTATGTTTAGACTATTTACATTTATGACAATAACTAGTATGTAAGGCTTAGGTCTGCCACATTACTACGTGTTTTCTGTACTTCTTTTCTTTCCTGTGAGGTTTTTTTTTTTTTTTTGAGACAGAGTCTTGCTCCGTCGCCCAGGCTGGAGTGTGGGGCAGTGGTGCGATCTTGGCTCACTGCAACCTTTGCCTCCCAGGTTCAAGAGAGTCTCCTGCCTCACAGCCTCCGGAGTAGCTGGGATTAAAGGCGCCCGCCATCACGCCTGGCTAATTTTTTTGTATTTTTAGTAGAGACAGGGTTTTACCATGTTGGCCAGGCTGATTTTCAACTCCTGACGTCCAGTGATCCACCCGCCTCAGCCTCCCAAAGTGCTGGGATTACAGGCGTGAGTCACCACGCCTGGCCTCCTGTGAGTTTTAGTCTATCTTCATGTATTTATAGATATAATTTATATGTTATTTTGTAGCTTAGGCAAAATAGTTGCACTAAAGTTTCCTAGTCAAGAGGCACTGTGTAAAGGGGGTTAGTATGAATATAGTGAAACAAAGATTCAGGAATCGTAAAAATTCAGCTGTCAAGTTATCTTTCTTGAGATAGTTTTTGAAGAGCAAGTCCCAATAAACATTTAGACTCTTGTAGTGTGGCTGGAAATGCTACCGAGCAAATTCCTAAATAATTTTTCTATGGAATTCTTGTGGCATGAAGAGCTGTTCAGTGGTTCATATCCTACTTCCACTAAAAGGCAGCACTCTCTGCCCTCTGGAAATCTCATTCTTTCCCAATCTCAGAGCACACTTGTGAGGAAGAAAAGCTGGGAAATGTAGCTGCCTCTGTACTTCCATTCAGAGACTGAACTGTTAGCTTCTTCACCTCTGCTTAATTAGTCAGTACTCCATCCAAGTGGGACTCATCTCGAGCCTTCAAGAAAACCCTTAGAGCAGTTTCCAAATGGAATTTATGTAAGAGAACGGGAAATGTGACCAATTATCTAGAGGCTCACACTTCTTTGTACATATATTATATCTGAGATTAATGGCACTTAAAGTCCATCAGTAGAAATATTTGCAGGTATTTGCAAAGTACTATCAGCACTTTCAATCATATGTGGGTTTATTAAAAGGTTATTCTCAGGTTCTACCAGAACAACAAAACATTCATTGAGGGCTTACCCTAGACCACTCCAAGAGCTTCGTATATATGTTAAACAAAAGATCCTCTGGCAGAAATGCTTACAATGCATGTATATTTTAGCATCTTAGGAAGTACTGCGGACTGAACTGTGTTATACAGTAACCCAGTACAGCTCTTCCACAATGACTCTGGAAGCCACCGGTCTCCTCCATCAGTACTTCGGGAGCTGTTAACAGTGGATTTTACAAAGACCACGGCTGTCACTTCACCATTAAACTGCAACTCCAATAAATACACACAGCTTGCTAGGGCAAAGGGTAATTTTCTAAGTTTTATATTCTACAGGATATACTTAAACACTGAAGCCTCAAGATTTTGTAACAAAAATTTATGGTTTTTTTGAAACTGGAAAACTGTGGTTCTGTTTTTCTCTTCTATTTTAATTAAGTTTATACCAATTTCATGCATTAATACCAAACATTTCTGGAGAAACTAACCTTTGACCCGGACGTCACTGTACCTCTGAAAGTGGTGGTAAGCAGCTTTCCAGGGGTTCCGATAGTGACGAAGCAAAGTGATGGGGGGTCTTGGACGCACTGGGACATACCTCACACCTTCCTCATCTATTACAGAGAAGACATTAAACAACTTATTAACATCGTCAGCAATCCTCAAAGTTCAATTCCAGTAAGCGAGGCATGAGTGAGGCTGACTATGTAGCGAGCCTCTGGGGGGGACTCTGACTTTACTGGGAAGCGTCATAACACAAGTCAGCCTGTGACCATTACCAATATACTCCTTGGGAGGAGACTTGCGCTTCTCAGCCTTCACCAGAAGACTCTTGGCAGTGGACTTCTCATCGTCAGTGCTGTTTGTCTCCATCATGTCACCTTCTTCTGTCGAGATCACGTGCTGTTGCTTTCGAGGCTTCTTCCTTGGGGAGGCACCAGGTGGTAGGTCACTTGTAGGCATGGACAGGTTGTTTGCCAGCAATGAGAGAGATGGAGACACAGTGTTGGTAGCCAGCGGAGGAACTGCTGTCATAGGAAAAGGAGCACACATAGCTGTAAGAACTCAAACACAACGAAGTGTGACTTCCCTCCTTCCAGCAAAGACCATGATTGAGAAGGCAGCACAGAGCACCAACATTTATTGAGTCTTCCTATGTGCCTGGCACTGTGCTGAGCACTCTGAGTCTTCCTATGTGCCTGGCACTGTGCTG